CCCCCCCCCCCATCCCCAAATTCCGGTTAATTTGGTTAATTGCATTTTTTTTTTTTTTTTTACCATTCTGTCATAAATCAATTTTCCGTTCCGCTTTACCCGGGAGGGTTGGAGTGGGGGAGGGGGATGCTGGAGCCTATCCCAACCATCTTTGGGCAGTAGGCGGGGGACACCCTGAACCGGTTGCCAGCCAATCGCCAAGCACACAGAGACGAACAATCATCCACGCTCACACTCACACTGAGGGACAATTTTCGAGTGTTCAATCAACCTGCCATGCATGTTTTTGGAATGTGGGAGGAAACTGGAGTACCCGGAGAAAACCCACACAGGCCCAGGGAAAACATGCAAACTCCACACAGGAAGGCCGGAGCCAGGATCGAACCCACGACCTCTGCACTGTGATGTCGACGCGCTAACCACTGGCCCACCGGATGCCTTCTGTCATAAATAAACGCACTCTCAAGAAGCCATACCCAAAAATGCTCAGGATGATTGAAATTTTGTTTGAAGCAGCCATTTTTGGGTAACTCGTCCGGAAAAGGACACATCCTCTTCACCGCTATTTTGCGGTTCTTTCCTGTGGCCAGAGATTTATGGAGTACCCTTGTACAGGACAAAGAGTACCAGAGACTTCTTTGCCTCTCGAGCAATAAAACTGCTAATTTTGCGCCGTGTCACAACAAGTACGAGCTGGGCTTCCGACTGCGTGTCTTTGCTTTTCATCTGCAATTCTCTCGGTCTCAACTGCATTGTGTACTTTTTCTTAAATTGTCTTGATTCTCTTCAAAAAGTGAACATTTTAAAATATTTCCAGGGATCATTCAAAAACAAAACGTCGGCTCGGTTGAAGCCTATTTTTCTCTTTAAAGTTAACTCCCCAAACCTCTTTTACTTATCACTAGTACCACCAAAATAAAAAATAAAAAATCTCTAGCGGAGACAGGCCGCTAAGTATAAAATTGTGTCTGGGGAGGAGGCAGCACCCCCCCCCCGGCTAAGTGGCAGCAGGCCCTGGGCCTCTGGCAGTAAGCCTGAGCATGACACTTGCTAGGTATTTCTAAAATTAGTGGACCCACAAAAACGTCTCAAAAAGCCATGCCGGCAAAGACGGGAAATCTGCCATTTGGATTTAAAAACACTGTTCGATTTGAAGACACCTTTCAGGGATTCTTCAAAGACACACTTGTCAGGTGGTTAACATCTTCATTTGTTTTTCTTTTATTTATTTCTTATTATTTTTTTTTAAAGCCCCAGTTTGACTTTGTAATGCGAAATATGTTTGGACTGTCTATCAAGAGCAGACAAAGAAAGTCCATTTTAGGATCATTTCCAGGGGATCCTTTCAAAAACTAATTTGTTAGGCTTGATAGCGCCACCTGGATTTTATTTATGTTTTACACCAAAGACTGTTTGACTTAGTAACATGAAAGTGGTCGGCTTGTCTATATTGAGTAGAAACAAAAAAAAAAATGCCTCATGGAGCCATGTCTGACAAGACGGGAAGTAACCTGTGACCTTTGCACCGCGAGGCGAACGTGGGGAGAGCATGCAAACTCCACGCAGGATCCATTTTGTGCTCCATTTGATCATGACAATGGGAGATTTTGATACTGAGCTCTGCAGGTAGATGGCTTGACGAATAATTGGAGAACACACACACTCAAATTGCCCAGAGACTCGAGGCTTGTGTTTTGTGATTTTGGCTCACACTGGAAGAGAAGAACAATGAGTGTTCTTTTTTTTTTTTTTTGCTGGGACATTATTAGAAGCAACTGTGATTTTTCGGATTTAGCTGTGTTTGCCTTTTGATTTATCAACGCCCCACGGGCTCCGTTTTGTTCCCCCCTCCCTTTGTGTGCGCGGGCATGTGTGTCTGCATATAACAGCCTATGCACATCCCTTTATAAAATAACCAAGCTGAAGCCACCAGAAAGGCGAGAAGCATGGACTGCGTAAGGTGGATGCTTGCTCAGAGGTAACTGGAAGCCAAATGTCATGGATCACATCCACGCAAATTAACAGCAACGGAACAAAAACCCAATTTTCAAACCATAATCCTGGCTTGGAACCCTCATGTTGGTGTGTCACTGTAATTTGAAACTTTCACTGCTGCTTGGAGAATAAATAAATAAATAAACAAAGGTCGTGGCTAACCTTAGCTTGTAACCCTGTTTTAAAACCTCAGCCTTTGCTTGAAACCCTCGCGCTGGCTTGAATCCGACAACTTTAAACCCTAATCTTTGCTTAAAACTACAGACGCTCCGATCAATCGGTGGACGATCCTTATCGTGAAAAAGTGCGTGATTGGTGAACGCGATCAAAGTCAATGTAAACTATTCGCAATGGTTTCACAATCAATGATATAAAGGTTACTATCACTATCATGAGACATGCTATCTGTAAATTAGAACGTGATATCGGTATTTCACGTAACGCAGAAAAATGAATACTTATTGACATTTGACATTTAAATGAGGAATTGAAATGGATGTCACTATTGCACACACAACCTAAATCCAGCTGCAGCCGCTTGCGGAGGCTCTATAGAAATAAAGCTGTGTTGTATTCCTTTAGTGTTGCACCATCTAGTGGCTGCGTAGCGCAACCGCAGCCACTATTGTCACTTGTATTTCATGCGCCTTATGATGCGGTGCGCCCTATATCTGAAAACCGCTTTAAACTAAGTCAGGCGCTACTGCGGGATCCTCCTGTTGACGTAAGGGGGACTACTCAGCTTTGCCGTGATTTGCTGCGCAAACAAAATGCAGACACACACAATAGAGGCGAGTGTGTGTTGTCACCTCAACAATCTGTTGTAATCTAATTCGATTTGACTTCATGAAGACAAATATAGTTGCTTTTTTTTTTTCTTAATGGTTGTGTTTGTATTCACACTTCAGCCAGGACTACTGTTTGTCCACAGGGGTTCACACATTGTGTGAGAGTGCGTGTGTGTGTGTGAGTGTGCGTGTGTGTTACAATAACAGTTACATCACATCCTGGAGCGCTCCACAAGATGTTAAGCAGCAGCGGAAGAGGAGATCCAAATAACAGCTTGTTTAGCTTGAAATATCCTCAACTATTTTTAGGAGATTGCCGGCTGAGAGAAACATGAGCCACAAACGTCGGGCGGGGCTAGAAAAAACGCTGACTGTTGGAATTTTGTGCAAATAAACCAATGTCGACGCGCCGCGGAAACTTATTTCCGAGCAGATGATTGGCAAATTAAAAGTACATTTTCACTGCGGCTACTCTTGTCAAGTCGATTCGACAGCGGACTAGCGTTAACTTTGTCTTAAGTGGGTCAAAACCTGAAGTCAAACTGACCATCATTGCATTCGGTTACATTTTGAGTGAAATGGAAAGGCAATATTTAAAAGCAGGCATAAAAAGAAATTTGTATAAGGACGACAAGATTGGGTTTGAAGCCAAAATTAGGGTTTAAAGTCAATGTGAGGGTTTTAAATCAAGGTTAGAGTTTCCAACAAGGGTGAGGATTTCAAATGAGTCTTTCGGGTGGGCTGTCATGTCCCGATTTGGGTTTCAAATTATGCTTTATAGAAAATGTTCGGGTTTCAAGCTTGGAGGGTAACGTTTCAAAGAAGAGTTAGGGCTTGAAGCCTTGGCTCCACACCTCAGACAGAAGGATAATCATACGGGCGACAATCTTTTAAGACATAAGATGGACATCGAACTGTTGATAATTTGACATCGCACGGCCCATCACAACAGAGAAACATTTCAACATCACAGCATCTGTTCACCATGGCAAAGTGTGTCATTAAAAAAACAAAACAAAACACACACACACACGCTGCTATCTCTAATGCTAATTGGCCTGATGCAAATGTAGCACAATATCCTCTGCTTACCGGCTTTTTGTGTTTGGAGGATCCTCTCGTAGACCCCATCGGAGTTCTCCAGGAGAGTTTTGCTAGTCTGGATCACCTGAGACCAAAACACACACACACACACACACACACACACACACACACACACACACACACACACACACACACCGTTCACATTAGCCTAACGAGCTATGCGGTCACGGCCGTGGTTTTTCAGGGGGCGCTTTCGCGCATGGGAGTTCTCTCCGAAAAAGACAGCAGCCACTATTGCAGGAAGGCCTGCGTGGGCGAGGTCGCCGTTTTGCAAGCCCAAAATTAGAGGGAAAGCAGACAGGAGGCTTCTATTAAAAGCCTCGGGTCTGGAGGGCTAAAACGTGGACGCGACGGGCTTTGAAAAGGGAAAATGTGGCTCTTGAGGTAATTTTTAGCAAGTCAAACACCAGGGTGAGTCATAGCAAGACGCTAAGTTTAGCTGTGATGCTGTTAAATGGGGCGCACAGACTATGGGGACCTGCAGACAGTTGCTCGGAAGAAGGGGGCTCTCCTCAATCTCTGGGAAACCGCATCGACAAAAAAAAAAAAAAAAACTCCACACATTCCAGCTCAAGTGATTAGTAACATCAGTCTGACGTCCAATTTATTTCACCGCACAGCTCACTTCAGTACTAATTCAACAATTGCAATAAAATACATTTTCCAAGGGTGTGTTCAGTCGATTTATGAACACAAAGTACGGCAGTTTCTGTCAAGCCATCGGAACACACAAGCACAGTGGAGCCTCTTTTTTTTTTTTTTTTCCTTCTCAAATGACGAATTGTGTCGCAGCACTGCAAACCCCCAACGGTGCAATCTCGGAGGCACCGCAGCTGCAGAAAACGTGCTCATTGCTGCGCGGCGCATGCTGTCATTACCTCCCCCAGGGTGAAATCAAATGGCCGTGAGATTTATTTTGAGAGGCTGCTTCGTCCTCCGCCCAAGACACAGCGCAGGGGCCTTTTCTCTAAGTGGTCTGGGAAGCGTCTTCTTACCTCGCGGAACTGAATCCCCCCGGCGCTCTTTCTTTGGATTTTACAGATGAAGTGCAGTCGGATGTCACCGTATGTGTTATCAATGTGAAACTAGATTAAGATTGAAAATGGAATTTGCTTTACAAGACTCCCTTCAGTGAAATTTCAGTCATAAATGTTACCTAAAGCATAAAAAAGAAACAAATATATGTTACAATTATATGATTGCGCAATGAATGACAGTTGTGCATAATGTAAAAAAACAAATAATCGGGTCAAGAATAAAAATGATGCTCATTTAACTTTAAACTGCGTCCTCATCGTTTTTTTGCCCTCATGTTCTCTCTCCAAAGTGGTTTTTGCCTGCCGTTTTGTAAAGAACTGATCCAAGGACATTTGCTTTTGTCGGCTTTTAACAATCCTTTGAAAATGTCCAAGGCAAACACCAGCATAGTGAGCGATTTTCTGGGTGATTCACATTCACATAAAACTATCGAAACGCCTCATGGTCCAGGGGGCGAATGACAAGGACGCTGCATAGACACACATCTATCTATCTGCACATGGACACATTCGGTGGAGGTCCTTCTTAGCCAATGGGATGCCAGGATGATGCTCGGTAATAGCCAATGGCCTAGCAGCTATTAGTATGCTGCGTTCAGGAAACTCGGAGCTGCGAGTCAGCAGCCCATACTGTATTTTTACCTTTCGTATCTTGACATTTCTTTCGGAACAAGAGGCAATGTTTTCCTGTAGAGGCGTTTCGTAACTTGAGAATTTCGTATGAAGAGACGTTCGTAAGTACAGGTACCGCTGTTTCATGTTTTGGATTGAATCACGGTTTAATTTTCAAATTAAGAAGTTGTCAAATGCACGAATGAAACATGCTGCGTTCACGAACCTATAACAAGAGATTATGGTGTCGTTCTAAATACACATTCCATCACATACATATTAACATACGGTATATGTACATCTGAGTTCGAGACTCATTTGCATCCCGCTTTGCACTTTTTGTCCTCATGGAGGTTTCTTTTTATAGAAGAACGCATGGGTCGGCCCCACATTCTCCTCCCGCCAATTAGGAACCAGGACGGTTAGTCCCCGCAGTGGCTCAGTTCACACGCAGCCCAGTGCTCCTAATGATCCCCACATTATTTACAGTGCGCCTCATTTCTATTAGGTTGGTAACACCTATTTGAGCTCCGGCTTTTGATTGGATTGATTGCGCTCCACAAATACCTGTCACACACTCTCCCTTTTCCCTACCCGACTCAATTGTCCTCTTTCCATCACAATTACCTCCACAAGGGTCACCTTAACAAGCACAAGGGCACGTTATATAACAGTGCGCCACCATGCTGAAGAAACAGCTAAACAGCCACGGTGTGCCCGTGCTGTGCATTTGATTAGCTGCTAAATTATTCAAAGTGGCAACAACTGACAAAAAAAAAACATCCGCTCGTCTCGTGTGCCAAGAGGCTCTGGAAAGGAATCAGCCATGCGAAACAAAATAAATAAATAAATAGGGAGACGGGGAAAGCCTGGCGTGTTGCGTAATGCGCCGGTATTGATTTTATTACTTGACAGCAGCGGTGGTGCTATTAGCTCGCCAAGGCCGCTGTCCCCATTAACAGCGGCAAAAATCAAGCTATTGAACCAAACGGAGCGGGTGCTGATTATTTTTCCGTTGTGGTGGACTGCTACACATGCGGGATATGGAGACAAATAAATCCATCCGGACATTGTGACAGGGCTTTGACTCTCTGGAGTCTATCCCAGGTGACTTTTCACTAGGGAAGCAGGGCAAAAGGTTCCTGAAGATGGTGGCGTTGCATCTATTTGGATTGAAGACCAGCACAGTTTTTGAGTCAAAGATCAAGATTAGGGGGTAAATCTCGGCTTGTCATGTCAAATATGAACGAGAGAAATGCCAACACATAAGTCGGACAAATGTAGGCACACAACAGAGCGTGTAAATGTCTGGAAAAAACACACCAATGTACGTGTCATAGTAGGTGTGTCGCGATCATGAGGAAAGATGACGCCGTTTACCAAGTGAGTGATGAATGCTATTGTTAAAAAAGCCACTGACATTCAACTCCGTTATAGTCGAGGCAGAAGATGTGCATTTGAATGCTTGTTCAAACCTCGCAAGTACATGTGACATGGTTCCCCTTTCATTATTCTCAATGCACGACTTGACAAACTTTTCTTGCTACTCACCAAGTCATAGGTGGTGAACACCTTTTTGAGGACCTCTGGCAGCAAACCTTGCGGCTCCATGACTGGATAGTGGTCAGCCAGGTTGAAGAGTAGTAGGGGTCCGGTGTCCGGTGTACTGAGTCGAGGGGAGAGGGCCAGGATGCACTGCTTGAGATTGGCCACTGCCGAAAGTCCACACAGTTCTTTAAATGACACGATGGCATTCTGCAGTGGGGGATGACAAATCAGGAAATGATTGTTTCCGTGTCATGTTTTGTAATATCTGGCCTCTTGGTCCAGCAGACAGTCCAGAACAAGATGGCCTTGTTAGAGTGGGTTTAATGTTCTGCCAATTATTGAGTCTTGGGGTATTTTGATAGCAGTATGTCACAGGTAAGTCGTAAAGACACTTGGGGTATGTAAATGATTGAATATTTTATCCTTGGCCTATGAGCAATCCTTTTACAAATTTGGTGGAATTAGGTTGATCAGTTTTGCCAAACTTAGCAATTAAATTAAGCAAATGCTGATCAAAAAACAACTAATCACTCAGATTTTCAGGAGGAACATGAGCAAACTGAAGTCACATTTGGTTCAACAAGTCTGACCTGCATGTTTTCTCTGAGATCCGTGGCCTCCCTCAGCGGCAGCGTGGCCGTCTTGAAGACATCGTCCACGGCCTTGATGAGCAGCACCCTCATGCTGGCGTACTCCCTGCTTTTTTTGCCCTTGCGCACCGACAGGCCTCTCTTGTGGGGCTTGCCGCCACCCCTCCGGTTGGTGATGGCCACGTGGACGAAGAGCAGGGTGTGTGGCAGGACCTCACCGGTGAGCGACTGCAGCGGTATGTGGCGGAAACCCGGTTGCAGGCACTCGAAGGGGATGGTGTACTGGCCGATGAACTCATCGCCGATGTAGTCATCATCCAGCACCACGAAGCGCACCATAGCGAGCTCGGGCAAGTTGATCTGGAACTCGAAGCTCTCGTCAAACAGAGGGTTGTCACCATTCTGATTGACCGTCTTAGTCCTTTGCTCAGCACAGTCGGCGGGAATGCCGTGGATTTCCACGTACACGTAAGGGTCTACAACGTCCCCTTTGGCACCCGAGCCTTTTGGCTTGGGAAAGTTCTGTCCACTGATGATCTTAATGTGCAACAGTTGCGGAGAGACACCAGGCACTGAATCTTTTGTGTTAGCACTGAAATACGACACCTGCTCGCGCATAATCGCTGGCCTCAGGACGTACCCGCAGTTCCCGTTCTGGCGGAACCAGCCGATGTTCAAATCCATCATCAGACCAGGAGTCTGGTAGTTCATCGCCACAATTTGGCAACCGCACTTCCAGAAGTCCTGCGGGTTCATGTTGCTGGAGTCGATCCGCATGGGACTGGGGTAAACCCGCGCCAGAAACTTCTTGTTGTAGTTGACAAATTCTCCGGGAAAGTCGCTTGCACAGCGGCCGGCAAAGACCTCGTTGAACGAGCAGAGCTCCCAATGCTTCTGGCCCTGGAACGACGTCGGGAAGTCCTTGAACTCGACAGACTTGCACAACGTAACCAGGTCGGAAAGGTCCTTTGACAGCTGGAACTTCTTGGGCACAACTGTCTGTTGTTCCGGTGAGTCGATGCTCATTCTCTGCGACATTTCAGCTCCTTCGTCCTCATCGGTCACCTCCCCCTCGGAGGCAGTGCAGTTGGTGCCGAGTTTCTTGCCCTTCAGCAGGATCTTTCCCTTCAGGTCTGAGGGGGACGGGAGGTAGCAGTCATCGGGTTTCGGGGGATCCAGGCTGAGCTTATCTCCCAGGATCTTCTTGAGGTGCTGAAACATTACCTTCTGCTGCTTCAAAGAGCAGTGGTTCTCCAAACACAGGATCAGCGGGAACTCTGACGCGACAAAGGCATACTTGTTGACCACGTCGATAACGCTTCGAAAGATGATCTGCGAGGTCATGGTGTGGCCGGTGTAAATCACCGGTTCATTGTCGGGTCCGTCCCAAACGTCCAGCTCCACGCTGCGACAGCCCATTTTTAGGGCACGGATGTACCCCGTCACATCAGAAGGACCCCTGAACTGATCTTCGATAAGGTAAGTGTTGTGAGAGGCGTTGATGTAGTAGTGGGACAATGGCTGGTTCATGTCTTGGCACACCGTTTTGTGCTCGGGGTCAAATATGTGGCACTCCGGCGACAGAAGATAGTTAGTGAAGCCGTCCAGAGAGAGCCAGCTTCTTTGCCGACCCTCCTTGGATGGCTCGTACTTCTCGATGACCTCCATGCTGGTGTCCTCGCTGACTTGTGCCATTCCCTGCTCGGCCTCCAGGAATATCATCAAGTCCTTCGTGTCCAAAAACTCTTTGTTGCTGGAGAACTGGACAAAGAGAAAATAGATTTCCGGCCTTGTGCACAGGTCATGAAAGACCTCAATGAACTCATCGTTCGTCACCAGAGAGCCGACCTTGTCCTTTACTTTGTGAAGCTCCTTGAACTTCAGCTCAATTTTCACATTTTTAAGTCCCGGGTTCAACTTTTTGATGAGCTGCACAGCAGCGCATATTGTTATCTGTTGACTGTTGTGGCCATCCACTTCGCTGAAAAGTTCACCGAGCCAGGACGAACGCATGTTATTCTGACTGCTCTCGATCATGTTCAGCGTATGTTTCCCGTATGAGATCAGGTACCTCAGGCCAGTAATCCAGGTGTTGGCTACGTCTGCGGTGTTGGCCACCAAGTCCAAGGACTCGTAGTTCTCCCCAAAGATAATGGAGAACGCGCAATCCTCCGAGATCTGATCATATGTTCCATTGCTTCTAAAAGTGTCCGTGTTCTTCCCCTTGCGAACCTCCTTGATTGACTTGACATCAATTCTGGCCTTGTCAGACTCCTTCTTGGACGGCTCCCACCGCAAGGACTGCATGTCAGCGTCCAGTAGAAAGTAGCGGTGGTAGATGCGCGAGTTGGAGCGCACCTTCTTCAGCTCTGAGCCATCGACCATGGTGGTGATGCAGTCGCTGGCGCTGCTCATCTTCTTCTCTGTGGGCATGCTGCTGAACGACACGGTCTTCTTCCTCTCCTTCCGCTGTCTCGAGGAATCCTGTGAAGTTAACAAAAAATTCGGGTCTTTGAAGGAGCCGCACACCCATCAGGTGTAAAATTAAACAACTAAGTACGTATTTTGTGACTTGCCTATTTTTGAAATGGTGTCTGTGAGCACATCGGAATGAATTTTTAAGTGTGGGTGCAGTGAGTATGCAAATTACCTGAAATGTAAAGTCACGATTCGGCTAATCTACACACTAACCTCTTGCACAGTGAGTTTCTCTACCCATGACTTGGAAGCGAGAATGGCTGAAGAACCAGAGCTACTCAAATCTCAGCTGGACAACACAGTATAAATCAATTTCATGTCAGAACCAAAGGTTAAGCAGAGCTGCATTGACTTTCGTCAAGGACCGCCCCCTCAAGACTGGCGGAGAAGTATGGTGCTATAATTCTTGATCCTGAGGTTATTTTTGGGGAAGAAAACAACAACAAAAAAAAAGTAAACTAAACATTTTTTTAAATAGTGGAAAATAAAAAAAGCATGACATTCCTCCTTTAAGGCAGAAACTCACATCGAAACCGCCAGTTGTCTGGTCGCCTCCTGAGCTGTGAACATATTTTGCACTTCTGACTTCAGCGGAGTACAAGTACCTGTCACTGTACATTACAGAAGTTCCCTTCCAGGGAGAAAAGTTGCCCGCAGGAATCGACTAAAATTCTCCAGGCAGCGTTGACATTTTGAGTGAACCCAGTTTCTTTTGTTCCTCTTTTTTTTTTTTTTCCCCATCGTCGCTGCAAGAGCACCAGGTTCAACATGAGGGCAAACTTTTATGTTGTGGACTTTGCAGAGTTCAGGGAAAGTCAAGCTTGTTTGTCCCATAAGGAACTAATGGTGCGCATTAAACTCAAGTGAAAAATCGACTTTGAAATGTTGCCATGTTAACGCTTCATTTTGCTGGAGTCAGATGAATGTTCTTTTTCTTTTAATTAACATTTATATGTTTCATGAAGTTGCTCCTAATCTCTTTAGTCTGATAGTCAAATTTTCTTTGAAAAAAAAAAAAGTGTTTTAAGGTATTTTAGACTCTGGACATAATTGACTTTTACCTCGTTGTGGAAAATAACTCTTCAAAAATATGCCTTTGAAATATCTGAACAAAGTGATTCGACAGAAACAAAGACATTTACCACGAACTTATCATGTGAAATAATAACAGGTCATTTCCTGCTTATATGCATAAGCACACTTCATCCTTATAAGCAGGGAAAAGAATGTGTGTGTTTGAAGGCGGAGTCAAAGCAGTGGCGTGCTAATGGCTTGTGTATACTTCCTGTACAGCCTAACCTTCACTTCCTTCAGTCAGAAGTGTTTTCATTCCTGTCTCAGTGATCTGCTTCATCCATCATTCCCCTTAAATTTCTAATGCGATTTTTATTTTATTTATTTATTTATTTTTTTGAGGCCGGGCCTATTTGAGGAACCCAGGAAACGAGAGGGTGAGGCGAGCAATACTTGTGTAACTCGGTTACACTTCAGCTGATGCAAGAATGAGCAATGTGCACACACATAGTGACACACATCAGCAACGGTCGGAAGAACATCTGCGACATGCCAGCGCTTCCAGCACCTGGAGTAAGCCCGTGCGCGGGAAGTGACAACGAAGAGCTCTTTCAAGGATTGGAAATAGAGAAACACACACATTCTTGTGCTGGATAAACAAAACACCTGTGTCTTCTCGGAGGCAGGATGTGACAGTCACATGAGATGAGACAAGAGCCAGCTGGGTGACTGGCTTCTGAATGCTCAATGCAGATGGGCTTTCAACATGGCTACTCATGAATGGACAAGGCTCCAGTATGAATCGCAAAAATATATAAAGACCCTAGTGGCCGGAATATATCCCACTGGGTCATCGCGGAGCTTTTCCACATCGTGACAAGGCGCTCAGAGCAGTCATGGCAGCACAAAGCCCGGTCCGCACGCTGGCTGTCTCTTCAGAACCCCCCCACCACCACTCTGCCACTTTCTCTCTGTGACAATCATGCATTCATGGCCAATGAGGCACTCTAGAGTGGTTACGCTGGCCCAAAGCCCCACCTCACGCACTGGGTGTCAAAGGTAGAGTTCTTTAAAAAAAAAAAAAATAAAATAAAAAATAGATTCCTGCTCCTGGAACTTCCACCTTTCTCATTGTGACTTGCGCTCACACCCAGGCAACAATGCGGCACTCTAAATCATTTTGTATATTTTGTTGCTATGCCAACGTTACAAATGCAACGGGTAACCACGGTAATAAACAAAGGCACTCTTTCTTTCATAGCGGGGTGGGGTAAATTATGCTGGACGAGTCTAAATAAATAAATAAATGAATGAATAAATAAAGCCAACTGAAATGATGTACACACATCAAGACTGCATAGTTCTCAGTCTTTGCATGTTTTCAGCATTACCATTTCACATTTATAATGTATTTAGAAAGAAATAACTGAATTCACTTCAAAGGGTATTTATTACATTGCGTTGTGAAATCGAAAAATGCATTTCAACTGTTGTCAGCGGGAATGAAAAATGCGAAAGGTGGCCATCCTCACGATCAAGCACCTGCTAAGTTGCAACTGGTTAACTCTGGGAGCCAGATGGACCAGTTCTGTTTTCACTTGGCAAAGCGTAAATACACCACGGGGTCGGTAAACACAATGTGCTGTTTGTTAAACGGTCTCGTAGTGTAAAAGTGCAGTTGAGAAACCAAACCGCAAATAGCTTTTCTAGAATTGATCGTACCATACGCGGGTTTGGGTTGTGTTCACCACATCCTCTATCGTCACCTTACAGAGTGAAATAAATGTTCCTTGAACCCTCAGACTTTGTTACATGTGACGACCCTTTTCAGCATACTGTCAATTTGAAGAGATGTCACATGCATGTCATGGCGCATGGTCAGGATGGTATCACCTCTGCCTCAGAAAAAAAACCTTCTATTGTAAAACATTTTTATAGATAAATAGCTAGTAATATAAAAAAGTAATAAAAAAATGAATAAATAAATAAATCATAGAATTATTTAAATGATATGACAACATATGTGAATAGTACTGTGACTATTGTATTATATTGCACTTAATTATTGACCTTATCCATGTTTGTATTTAAATTGCACTTAATTGAACTGTGTTTTCTTTTCTCTTCTTTCTACCCACAATCTTGCTGCTGAAGGCTGTAAATTTCCCCAGTGTGGGACAAATAAAGGATATCTAATCTAATCTAATCTAATCTAGCTAGCTAGCTTGCTTGCTAAATAGATCGACAGACAGCCTCAGAAAAAACTTGTATTGTAAAGCATTATTATAGATAAATAGTTAGCTAGCTAGCTAGCTTGCTTGCTCGCTAAATAGATAGACAGATAGATACTTCATTTGTTTGGTTAATTCTTCTATTTATTATGAATAGTAGTCGAGGTTCAGAATTTCTATTGAAGATTTCTAAACGATTGCAATAAAAAGTCAAGGGATTTTTTTAACACTCTTTTGTAGTATATTGGGCGGCACGGTGTCCACTGGTTATCACATCCGCCTCACAATGCGGAGGTGCAGGGTTTGATTCCAGCTCCGGCCTTCCTGTGTGGAGTTTGCATTTTCTCCCCGTGTCTGCCCTTGGTTTTCTCCGGGTACTCCGGTTTTCTCCAACGTTCAAAAATACAGGCATGGCAGGTTAGTGGAACACTCTAAATTGTCCTTAGGTGTGATTGCGAACGCGAATGGCTGTTCATCTATGTGTGTCCTGCGATTGGCTGGCAACCAGCCAACCTCACCTACTGCCTAAAGACAGCTGGGATACGCTCCAGTACGCAGCATCAACAGTTGAGGTGTTACAACACTTGAATTCACTGCCAAACCTCCCAGTCGTGTTGCATATTTGGCATCTATTGCCGTCTATGGCAGGGAAAGAGTAAGCAATGGCTTCACATCATCTGGGCTTTAAGTGACTCATGTGAGGTTCTTCCATCTGCATCGGGAAAACAAAGTGTCACAAAAGCACGCCATGATTTTAAAAACTGATTCACTGCGCATATCAATTATGTCCCGTGCTGATTCACAGAGGCTCTCGATGGTGTCGTGTGAGTACGAGGCTCTTTTGTTTTGTTTTTGTTTTCAGGCCACTGAGCATTGTGGCTATGCAGGGTAAAAAAAAAAAGAAAAAGGTGTTTCAAAGCACAGAGTGGAGGATGCAACGTTTGGAAACTTCTGGACCAACCGGAATGAGATAAGTCACCAAGAGTCCAATTGTGGTAGTTGTATGAAATTAAGGGGGGCATTATTTGGTTGTTTTGCATGACATTCTTGTCAATATAAACAGTATAACAATGCAATCGCTGTCCTATAACAACCTTAACAACAGAAGAATGGAGTGGAGTAGCACACCAGAATAATATTAGCAACCTTTGACTGTATCTCTTGTACGTGTTGACTTCCCGAGCAGATAACAGAATGTGAATTTCGTCAGGATAATGTGAAGGAAAAAAACAAAAAAAGACCGGTTTCATGTCTGATATTGTGTTAAACATTTTTTTAAGATTTTGAATTTAAGAGCAACCTTACCCCATGAACCAGCCTCTATTTTACTTGGTATTTTATTAGCATCCTGCACAGCCTAGTAACGCGAAAAATTCAGAAAGTTGTGCATCTTATAGCTGGTGCCACTCATATGAGACGTAAAGATAAATACATCGTTAATTTGCCCATTTTTCCAAGACTGTCAGAATAACGATGTTTACCGTTATTCCCAAACTACAGCCGCTACCTTTTTTCCCCATTTTCTGAACCCTATGGCTTTTAATTAATGTGAAGTGGTTTATTTATTAATTTTTACTGACAAGCTTCAAGCCATCAATACATTTACCGATAGTCTTGTCACATCTGACCGATTAAATTATCAAACATGCAACAGCGGACAAATGAAATTGTCCGAGTCTGCCTTCATAGTGAACTTTGCGGTTCGAGTGCGCACGCGTGAGGGCGGAGCAGGCTGCTCAAAGAGAGAAATGCGGATGTCTGTGTGCATAGCGGCGTGCGGCTGTCAAAGGAGCAATTGAGCGAAAATAGGCATCTTGAGTTGAGTTATATGAGCATAGGGAAGGAGGGCCATAAATACAGCCATCTCTGCAGTGTGATCCCTGTCTCTCTGTTTGGCAAGCAACTCCCACCAGCGCTGGCACTGGACGACTGAAAAGCAAAATGTCAATTTCTTCCTTCTTAACACACTGACTAAATTTATACACCGTTTTGTTCTTTTATCCCAGCTCTTTCCAGTGACATTGGTCATGCTGGGGGAAACAAAATAAAACTAATGTTGTCACGCCTTGACATTTTTGTATAATATTGGTTAGCAACCTGATAGCAGGTGCACTGAGTCAGTCAAGTCCTCACTAAAGGCCCAGGTATAGATGCACAGCCCACTACTGCTAAAATGTCTTTTTTACATCACATAACCCCTTTCATGCTGAGTCTCGTAGCAACAGTAGAGCAAAACTTTGCATTTCTAGCTGTTGGAATCATCTGCAGAGGGTTTCGACATGCAAACGGCTCCACTCCTGCACGCTGTCATCATCTTTGCTACTTGTTAGGCAACATGAAATGAGTAATATTTGCAAAATAGTCAAAGTACACAGTGTACTGCCGTAAAGAGATTATTTGAGGTACCACGAGTGTGTGTTGGAAAGTCATCAGGGAAAATGATGGAAAAAATGTTTTATGGAGCTCAGGTAGAGGCTGACTTCCATATTTCCACCCACCTTGATGATGCTGCTTCTGCGGGGCATGTCTGCCTTGTTGTCGGGCTCGACGGGGGCTTCCACGCCTCCACAACCTTGGCCGACCATGTTGTCTTCACACATGCCACAGTCGCCGTTCGACACCGAGCCTTCACCGGGCGTCTTCCCCGCTGCTTGCACGCCCACCTCGGCCGCCGCGTGATCCAGCAGCCTGGCCCCGTTCTCCTCGAACTCCGCCATGGGCGCGCGTACACACACTCACTCACACAGTCCCGAAAAAACCTCCCGGTTCGGATTTAATCCAATTTCCTGGTTGGGAACATCCGCGCGGTGTGCTGCTGCTGGTGCTTCTCCTCGATCATCCGCCGCCGGGTGCTCGGAGGTGCCGCGCGGCTAGTGGTGGAAGCGTGTGCGCGGGGAGACGGCGGCGGAACCACTGGTGGTGTCGGTACACGACACCGTGACATCGGACAGAGTTGATAGCGAGCTTTTGAGGCAAAATGCAAGACAGGCGGCTGGCAACGTGTCGCTTTTAAAGGCTAAATCCCCGCGGTGCGACTCACCCGGGGATCTCCAGTCCGTCTGCGGCGGCGTAGCTCTCCATTTGGGGGAGCGGCTACGGGGAGGCGGTGGTGAGTTTTAACAGCTGCTCTGGCGAGTGAGCTCCGGTTAGCTACCTAGCCAGTCGGCTAGGGAGTCGGCTAACTAACTTGACAACTTTTCGCGCTTGAAAAGAAGCCCCCTTGAAAAACAAGAGAGAACACCATCACCACTACTACCGGAGGAGGGGAGCGGGGACGCCTTTCCTGGGCTTGGTGTCCGAGGGCTTGGTGTCCGAGAAACGTGCAAACTGCAGTTGGACGTTCGAATCGCAACTATCACAATTCGTACGTCGACGCGCACGCGAGTTATGTCGCCTCGTGAACGCGCGCCAGGCAAAAACAGGATGTGCTGTCAATCATAGCTCATTGTGACCGTTTTGCAATTGTTTTTCTGTTTTTAGGTGTCAGGGCAAAGACGAGCAGACCGGTTCGAATGTAAACACGCCCCTTTGAATAGTGATGAGCATGACATGACAATACATGTCACACACGCACACTAACGACTTTTGGGATGGAAGTCTGAATTGTACTACAGTACTATTTTAATTTGTTCTGTGACCACGCTTGTAACAAAAAATAGTCGTCTTTTTCCCTTGAAATGACTGGGAATGTCGTTCAATCGATTATCGCAACCCCCCCTTCAAAAAAAAAGATTTTTAAAAATGTGTTTTTAATACAACAAACGGCTAACGGTTTTCAACAAACGGCTAAAGGTTTTTCAACTATTGTACTGTAAGTGAGTGAGTGAACTGCATTCTCATTCGATGTTTCTCACAGATGATAAAGAACATATGGGTGAGTATTGTTGTAGTCTGTTTTTTACTATCTGGCAAACTCCCCCTTGTTCTGAAATGAAGTTGATTTCACTGCATTCAACTCGGTTTAAAAAAAATGACTGAACAGAGCTCTTTTCTTGAAGAACTCATTAAGTCAGGTCACTCGTGTCTCAAAGTATAATATTTCATCAGACTATACTTTTATTTCTATTCCAGCTGTCCTCAGGCAGTGGGCGGGGTACACCCTGAACCGGTTACCAGCCAATTGCAGGGCATGCAAAGACAAATAATCATTCACACTCGCAATCATGCCTAGGGAAATTTAAAGTGTTCAGTTATGTGCATATTTTGGGAATGTGGGAGGATATCCATGCAAGCACAGGGAGAACATTCAAACGCCACACAGGAAGACCAATTGAACCTATGACCTCTGCACTGTGAGGCGGACATACTAACCAGTCAACCACCATAGCTGTCAATACAGCATCTTAAAATAGAAATATTGGTGCTGTCTGATTGAAACCCCTTTTACTCATTCTAACACGGCGGGGAGAAGCTGTTGAAATCTATTAAAAAATAGTGACATCGATTCATGAATAGGCTGTAATTTGCATAACGAGCCAATAGGTGGCCATGTTACTTTGTTTGTCGAACACTCAACATTGTTTTGGCCGTAAACGCTGCAAACAATGACATTTTCGTATAAGAGCATCCATCAGTGTTCAATTTTCAACATTTTGAAAGTTTTGAGTCCCAAAGTGATCAATTTTCATCAGGACTGCCGTTATTTTTTTTGGGGGGGGGCTTTTTTGTGTGTAGTGTCACAAAACTGCTAAGATTTGAGTGACAAGACTCAAATTAAGAGTTTTGCTGAGGTCTCAAAAGCAATGTAGCAATGTTGTCATAGCATGACAGCTACCAAAGAACTTTCTCATCATCTCATCACAAGGCTGTGACGTCAGAGCACAGTGGAGGATCCTCACATAGCAAACATCCAATCAGACGACATGATGTTACTCTGCACGACTTAATGCATTTATGCATAGACCACTGGTCCGCACACAGCAAAACAAACGTACTGTAAATCTGCATGCAGAGTTAAAGCGGGAGGGCAGCTGTGGTTTATACAACAGCGCCATCTGTCGGTTAACAAGCGTTAGCAACGCCAAATTTACTCATGCGATGAGACATTTGCTTCACACTGTGTTTGGAGGAAACGAGCCGATTTCTTACTTACAGCCACTGTGTCCTTTGTGTTTCTTTTCACGACATAATGATGTCGGCATTGCAAGCAGTCATCAGTGCTGGCTTCTCTGTGACACTACTCCACTCATTTGTAATATATTTGGAGTCTTGTGCAGAGCTACTATATTTCTGTTAAACGGTTTGGATGGAAATGTTATACAGTACTTTGCCCATGCTTGCTTTCGTTATTCGCTGATCTAAAGTTTCCCCACAATATTCTGTCATCACACATTATGATAGTTTGCATTTTTTAACATATTGCTTGAACGCTAAATTGTATCACTTTTTGGAGAGCTCCATTTGGATGTTCCATTGTGATGATGATAAAGGGGTAAGGTTGCAGGAGTACCTAACGCTATGTCATCATTTTCAACCCGGCTGCCTTTCATCCATCCCCATTAAAATGTAAACAAACGAGACCGGGTGGGAATAATCCACATCTGGGGGTATAATCCATATCTTTCATCTCCTTTATTGAAATGTTCAGAGCAGAAGTTTACGCCAACCTCTTTCTGTTTTAATTTGTACACGCTGACAACGTGAAAAGGGCGGCTCTAGAATCTCTTGAGGCACAATAAACATCTTGACTGTTTATTCTTTCACGTTATAGTAATTCACACAGAGTTTACAACAACACTCACAGGCATACACTGAATTCTCTTTCTTCTATGGGAACAACTCTGACAAGAGTTTAATTCTACCTCTTCTTCTTGCTCCTAATCACACTGTACCTCTTAGAGTGGACCGACCAGTGCTGCCCAGCATGTTGAACTGCAATATAGCTCGGGTACACTGTACCTAGTTTGGGATCGATATCTAATCTTGCAGTATGGCACACCACTAGAAGACAATGCAAGATTCAGATAAGGGTGATTTCAACCCTTTCCAGAGTTGCTTTTTAAAGACATAGAAAGCAGCGCACGTGAGGTAAGAGCCAAGAGGTAACAGCAGGCTTCAAGTAATCAGCAGTTGCGTGGAAGCTGACAGCCTAATGTGCCAAGCGAGCAAGCTGAAAATAATGTGTGCGTGAGGGGGAAAAAAAATAAGGAAATTGCACTTGCCTTTTGCTTGTCGGAGGAAGGCAAATATCATACATCCTGACATGCTTCTCTCTAGCTATGAGATGAGTCCATGTACAAAGGATCTTTTCTGATTGTATTATCTGGAAGCAAAATTCCAAGTCCCTTAGGAAGGTCACAAAATATTCATTTGTAAGTACTTCAGGGATGGGCGACAACAATGGTGGCCACAATTTTTCAGTCATGCTACTGGCCATATAATACAAATATTTGCGTTTTGAAAGTGGTGTATCCATTCCTAATTAATGATGTCTTGCCAAGGTCGTGTACGCAATAGAGCGATAAACAGTCCTGATTGACCATATTGGCTTTTAAGAAGCAAAAGATGTTACAATGGACTATGACAACCATAGGTAAAAATTTATTCTTTTAAATCTAATTTTAATAATAGAAAAAGAAATATCTTTGTTTTGTATTTCTACTTGATGCAATGTTTTATTTCATGGATGATTTGTCAAACGAATGACATTGTGAAGTGATTGAGAACTCTCCAAGTCATTTATGTTCTGTCTATGAGCTAATAATGTATTGTCCTAAAACCAGAACTATGAAAAGACTAAGAGATTACCACCTGAAACTGAACACTTGAAATGACAGGAGCGCCCTGTCCCTCCAGGAAAATTATAAAACTTAATTTTGACTATCACGGTTTAATCTGAGACTGTGAACATTGTTACGTTTAAAGTAAACCCAGCTTTAGGTTTTAACTTTTCCGGACTTCACAGCTTAGGAAATTTGACTTTACATAGACGCCTATGGAATTGGGAGTCAGTAATTCTGTACCACCACTTGCTCAATTGTCGCTAAATAGCTAAATCGTACAGTGTACAAAAAATACATATCCACTCACTTATGTATCTAAAGTAATATTAGCATGTTAATATTATTTTTTGCCAACAAACTACCACCAGGCGACGAATACATAGAACTAAAATCGAGTTTTGTATTTGATTTTGCCGTGAAAAGACGACAGGTTTCCAGGAGGCCGTTTTTCCTCACATTGTACACTAGGGGGTGCTGCCGCATAGCTACAAAAAGATACAGCGTGATAGCGACACTTGTTTCCTGTTCACCACAGGAAATGGAGAGAGTGATTTAACTCAAAAAATAAAATTACTCTCACCTTGAGTAAGTCAACCTAAAGTGAGAATTATCTTATTCTGAAATAATGTGGACCTAATGAAGTTGCTGTTGTAGTGGAAACCACAGTTGAAAGATGTACAGTTGCAGGCCTACTTTATATTGTATCTATTAAATCTTATCGATCAGTCTATCGTATCTATTTGATTAATCGTGTGTTTGAAGATTTACAGTCATACATGGGTCTCTAGAAAGTGAATCGGTGCATTGTTAAACTGAACCGACAAAACACAGCTGACATATTGTAGAATGCTGATGCAGGTAGACCTTATACATGTGAGGAGTATGAATTCAATTTGTTTTAAATTGGCTAATTTGTGCAGAATTGCTTGTTTTTTTTTTAAGATCACATATTTATTTCCCCTTTATTGTTACTGCATCTTAGACCCATCACAGAGTGGCCCAAAAGTATGGATACATTTTACATGGACTTATTTACATGTGGACGGAAGGGAGGAAGTAACTGGGAAGCGAAAATAGAAAGAGGGACTATAGAATGAAGGAAATTAGGTTTTTAAAAGAAAAGATGAAAGAAGGAAGTGGGTCAGGCAGGTAAGGGATAGATGACAGGGAGGGAAGAGAGATGATGGAAGGAAACAAGGATGCTGTGAATTAAAGCAAGGATTAAAGAAAGTTTTGCTGTCTTGAAAATGAGGTTTCCTCCATTTCACAACAAAGAAAGAGGAGTTAACAGAACTGCTGTCCCTTGTATTGTCCCCCAAACTTAAAGATATGAGGAAAAACAACTCAGCAAATTGTTTTGGAGCAAACAGCTTGCTTGCCTTATGCTAACTAACATTGTTGCCACACATGTCAATAGTTTAGATTTTAAAGGTGTTCCATTTTAGGTGGCCGTAGATTGGCTTGAAACCCTAGTTTGAATTTACAAGATTGGACTGTTTTTAATCAATAGGTGTACTAAACGTGACTGTAAACTTGGCTGCAAATTTCCCCTGTGTTGCAAATTTCCCCAGTGTGGGACAAATAAAGGTTATCTTATCTTAATCTCATGAATGTTCACCTTTATGCCCTAAATCCTGCATGGCACCATCACGAAAAAAAACCATGCACCCCCGTTCCTTCCTTCAACTCTGGTATTTCCCAGTGAACCCCCCCACCCCCAAGAACCATCCCACCCTCTCCCCTCGCGTCTCTTCAGACGGATTCTTCAACCAGTGGAGTGGAAGCTGCGCGGCAGACGTCGACTCGAGGCTGCCGGGTCAAAACACGCTCATTCAGACGATCACGTGAACGCGCACGCACACCGAGATAGAGGCGAGCTCGCCGACACACGTACGGAGGAAGGAAGGATAATAATAAGGAGGAGGAGGTGGTGAATAATGTGACAGGATGTGGTTTCCCTGAGCTGGCACAACATCCGCGCCCACCAAGCGGGGACTTGGAGTGTCTTCGCCCCGCTTCTGGAGGACTGTGTTCGGCCACGGAGGAGAGCTCGGAACCGACACCGCCTTGACACGGCTAACCTTCGTCCACGCGTGGGATGCTTCGCTCCTCGTGACGCTCGCGCCGTCTTACTTTGATCCACAGCGAGACGTAAGTTCGTTTATGCGCCTCTCGGCATCCGTTTCCGCTTCACACGTGATATTTGGTGTGTTCAAAGATGAAATAAACGCAGCATTGAGTGCGTTTTGCCGCTCTGACTGCAAAGTTGACACTTTTCGTTTGTTGGCCGTAACGCGGACGTACAAGTTTGACGCACGCGCGTGCTCGTGCCAACGTCACGTGACTTTACCCGGACTGTCCCGGGAGTGCCGGTCATTAACTCTTGTCGGTTGCACCTGGATGGGCCAATTATCACTCACGCGAGCTCAGCCGTGCACGCACGTTGACCGCGCACATTTACAGGACGTACGCGCGGGATTGGTCGTCGATCGAAGATTGGTTTGTTGTCCCGTGTTTGTTAATCACTTGACGGTAACTGTCAGTGTCGCCATATGTTTTGCAACACAAAACGAAAGAAAGGTGCATTTACAAAACTTTTGATGTTGTTTTCATTTTGTTTGTTTGTTTTATCGCCTGTGTCATCATGACATCAAACTAAAATATGACAATAATGCAGAGACATACAAACATCATTCCCAAACGTATGCCCAACCCAGCTGTCTATATTCATGTCCTAAACATTAAATATATCACAAATTGTGACCCATCTATCCATTTTCTAATATGCCTATCCTCATGAAGGTCGCGGGCGTGCTGGAGCCTATCCCAGCTGTACAAACTATGACCCACAAACACAATATCATTTCAAAAATTGTCCAATATTACTCCTAAAGATAAAAAGGCATTCAGATCATTTGATTTTGACAAAATGGATGAAGTGTGAAGAAGCTAGAGTGTGTTGCCAATTCCTACTTTTCTATATTTAACTGTGTTCACAAGAGACGTGAGGTCAGGGTAGGCAAGTCCTCTGCACGTGAAGTGTAAAAATAAATAAAACAAACCTCGCGATTGAATGAAATTATGTTCCATTTTAGCTCTATGGTCCGTGCTTTACATTGATTGACTTTTTAATCCAATAATTGTCAACCATTTCCTTAAATTGAATTTGTATTACTGTAGATGGTGACTGATTCCCAACAAAAGCATTCATTTTATTTCTTATGATTTTTTGGGGCGATACGAGCTGTTTGGACGAAATAGCAAAAATGAAGGAGATGAGAGCTGTATGAGGTGTGAACTCAACTCACTTTACAACAAGCATCCGTTTGGAATATAGTGAAAAATCCTTCTCAAAAAGACTTCATTCAAGCTGTTTCATTCCACTTCTAGTTGAAGTTTACTGTCAAAGTCAACATAAAACAAAAAGACTTACACATTGTGCATTTCAAAGAACCGCAGAACTTTGCCTTCCGCTCGCTTAATGCTGCCACAAAACAGACGATATAACAGCACTCACTGGTATATATCCTTTATCTGCGGAAAAAAACGACCCGTATTACTGCAGCTCGCTGGGTCACTGACAGTAGTTGTGAAAGTCTTCTTCGTCTTTGCCTTCATGACTGCGTTAATAGAAATACAAACAAAAATAGACAAACTCGCGAATAGGTGAATAGGTGCGCGTTCACGATACGCCCTAATCGCAGTATTCTCCCGACATTCAACTCCAAATATGGCCACAATATTGCAACGTGGGTTACCGTGGCGGCTTAAATGGGAAAAATAAGCGGAGGGATGTCACCGAGAAGGAAGCAAAGGGGGATATGAGAGACGAAAAGGCACGAGTGTGTTTGCGTCTGTGCTCGGGTGTGCGTGTGCGAATGTTTGTGTGAGAGTGAGAGTGCAGATAATTAGTTCCAGCTGGTGGCCTGCGGAGTTAACTTTGCACTGTTGGTACACACACACACACACACACACGCGCACGCACACACACAGCAAGCATGGACACACACAATCACACGCGGTTGTAAATGTGGAAGTGATTGGCGTTGCGTCACACTGCAGCCATGCCACCGAGCCACAGGAAAGAGGTCAACGTTGAACGAATGGCCGCGCTCATGCTTGCGAAATGCGTCAAGTTTTGTTTTCCTTTTTCCTTCTTCGGCGCTCTGTGCTCCAGATGTTTGCGGTCCCCCCGGTCAGGCGTGACATCGCGTGAAACCTCACTTCGGCCACCGTCGAGTGCTTGGGTCTGGAAGTGCATTTTGCTTCTTTTCAGGATTTTCAATGGTAGTCCATCTTAAAGGTGCCGTCTTAGCAGCACCTGTTCAGATCACGGAAGGTGTAACGTATTTATTTTGGTTCCACTTGTATGACAGTGAAGAATGTTTAATGGTGGACAACAGAAGATGTTCTTTTTAAGGTTTCAAGAAAAGTGAGGGCTTCTTATTTGGGTTTGAAGGCAACGTTGGAGTTTCAACTAATGTTTGTTTAATCCTAAATCCTGGGTTAGGTTTCAAATGATTTTTCTTTTTTTTTTTCTTAAAGAGAGCGTTGGCGAGTCTCATTTTCTCTCTCTGTCAGGTCCAACATCCTCTCACAAAAATTCCAACAGCAACCGTCCAATGTTCACAATTACAACATATGCGCGGCTAAGTTGCTCACGAAGCACATTTACACTTCCAGCTCAGTAGCGCCCCCCCCCGGGGAGGCACACCTCCTCCTTTGAAGATGTCACAAACACGGACAGTGACGCGGGTACGAGTGGACGTTGGTGCGTACTTTCCCAACGTGGACAATTGGTTTGATTGGCTGTTTACTGCCGCGTGTCATTGTCTGCTTTAATGACTTGACGTTTGTGCGCTTGTGCCTCCCGTGTGGGCTGTTGAATGTCATTAAGGTAAATTGACTGCTGACTCAAATGTTTTCTCCTCACTACAAGACAAACGAGGAGAAGTTGAGGAGCTTTTCAAAGACAAAAGTGGTAACTTTTGGAGGAACGTCGTATTCCGACAGCAGGGACTATTTTTCTACTGAAGTCTAGATTGAGCTATGGGCTAATTTATTGCGGGGGGAAAAAAAAGTCCATGCTTCAGGTTAAGGACTTAAAACGAGGTATGGGCGAGTAATGGTACAATAATGCTAGCAGGTCGATAGCAGCCTTGTTTTAACAAAGGCCCGCGGCGGAAATTAAACCCACAATGATTCCACTGTGAGACAGATGTGCTAACCAGTCGTTACACCGTGTCACTCCTCAGCGCTAACCCTTGTTTAAAATTCAAACAATGTATTCAAACCCTAAATTTAAAACGCGCTTTAGTTTGAAAGAATATTTCATCACCCAAAGCCTTGTTTGAAATTCTAACCTTGACTCCAAACCCTAATTTGAAACCCTAACTCTTGTTTGAAACCGTCATTTGAAGCTGTAAAGTTTGTTTGAAACCCTATAATGCCTTCAAACCCTTCGCCCTGGCCTCGAACCCTAATTTGAAAGCCTACATGTTTATTGTTGACGCATGTTTATTTAACCCCCTGAGGATTCAAACAGTGTGAATCCTCCGTTCCGCCGGTGTGAAATCGTCTGTTTTGTTTTGCACCACGTGACCAGTCAGACAACACGCCGAGCGACCTGTCTCTTGATGAGTGCCCCCGTTTTCATCTCGAACAGTGTCATCTCCGTTGCGGTCTTTTTACTCCTTCAAACAAAAAACCCCCCAAAAAAACCCTCTTCTGTGAGGCCTCATTTTTTATTATTTTCCCCTCCCCTCCTTGCGAAGACATCATACATCCGTCTTTGAAATGTATCATCACTGTCGGATAACCGTACCCATTATGGCGCAGTCGTTATAGTCATGCAAGGATCGCTGACTTGTCTCGTAATGGCTGCGTAGGAAAATGACAGCGCTTATTGATTGTGTAATGCACAGATGTCGATAAATGCCAAAGGACCTGACTATGTCAGCTCCGGAATACTCAGGAATAAAAGTTGTGTTGAATTTACTCAATTTTATTTCATGAAGTGGTTTCACAAAATAAAATCATCTGGATCCAGATTCATTTTTTAAGTACACTATACATAGACTGGAAAAAAAAAATTCAAGGCTCGAGATGATTTTATTTTGTGCAGGGAATACAATACAACGCAATACAGGTTTTCTTTATGAAGCGCTGCGGCTGTAACAAAGTGTTTTACAGAACATTCAAAATACTACGTCCAAGAAATCAGAATATTGATCCATATATAAGGCGCATCGGATTATAAGGCGCACTGTCGGATTTTGAGAAAATGAAATTCTTTTCGGTGTAGTATTGTATTAATTTTGCACGTGGACTTGAGTGTCTTCAGTCACAAGCGTGGTCTTGGAAGGAATTAAACTTGTATCTCAAGGCACCACTGTAATTGCATCTAATACAATACACCATCGAGCCAAGGAGACGCCATAGATCAGGAAAAGACCCCCCATCCAAGTGTTTCACTCTTTTTCCACGGTTCACGAAAATACCGCAATTGTATCTGAAATTCTGAAATTTGTTCGGTTTTCATCTAGACCAGGAGTGTCAAACTCATTTTTGTTCAGGGCCACATTTTAGTGACCGTTTCCCTTGGGGGCCAATATGAGTGAAACCATATAAAAAAGTCAATAATAACGGTTTATCCAACTATTGTTTAAGTTACTGTAATGAGGGGTTTGGTCACAAGAAAATGCTAACAACATGTCTCTTATTTATTACATATAAGAATTTAAAATTTTGGTAGAGATTTTAGCAAGCATCAAGGAAGTTGATTTGCTTTCCCGGGCCACGTAAAATGATGTGGCGGCCCAGATCTGGCCCCCAAGCGTTGACTTTGACACCTTTGATCTAGACATTGATTACCATGCCTCATTTTTTTTTCTTACAACTTCCTCTCCAAACACAACTTTGAATCCCTTCGTGTTTGCGAGCTTTCAGACAGCCGACGTACTGCAGGCTGTTTGCAACCGTATGGCTGAAATGGTTTTTCTTTTTTTTTTTTTGCCTTGACAAATCCCGGCGTGGACAGATTATGCGGTGAAAATCAAACTCATGACTGCCCGAGGCTTGAAAGAGGAGCTGGGAAGCAGAGAGGAAGAGGAAAAGGTGGTGGTCCTGAAGAGAGGACGAAAGAGAGAAAGTGACAATGAAAAAAGCGAGAGAGAGGCTGAGAGAGATTGCTGCCTATTATTCTTCTGAGAAGCCGACAGTCGGCGAGGGGCTCGTTCCCATGGCGATAGCTGCCTTCATCTGTTGGTTTATATATATATATATATATATATATATGTGTATGTATGTATGTGTGTGTGTGTGTGTGTGTGTGTGTGTGTGTGTGTGTGTGTGAGTCTGGGCCTTGAGATGGCACAGTGGTGGCGACGGGTTCTGGCCGGGGTCCGCATTGTGCCGCTTGCTCGCCTCCTGAATTTGGTGGTGTATGTCAGCCATCGATATTTACGAGGTGCTTCATCTTCATCTTCCACTTTTCCGTATGACCCTTCATGAATAGCCTCAATGGGGTGAGGTTTGAAATATTTTGAAAATTGCTAATCGCAAATGTGCCCCCACTGCCCTCCCCACCAATGTTGCGATTGTGATTTAATATGCGATTCTTTCCTCAAGGTTCTCTACCCGACTATTTTCTTTTCACAAACAGAACCGATAAATTAATCTGTAGTACAAAAAACAATATCAGATTTATTGTATTCAAATGGTTTGGTTTTATAGATTAGTCTTTGAAGTGTTCAGTATGACAACTTCATAAAATTCTGCAAGTGTGGCGTAAACATCCATCCATCCATGATCTGATCAGTTTGTCCTCACAAGAGTCGCGGGGGGTGGGGCCTATCCCAGCTATCTTCGGGCAGTAGGCGGGGGACACCCTGAACCGGTTGCCACACGGAGACGAACAACCGTTCGCGCTCTCAATCACACCTTGCGACAATTTAGAGCATTCAATCAACCTACCGTGTGTGTCTTGGAATGTGGGACGAAACCGGAGCACCCGGAGAAAACCCGCGCAGGCACGGGGGAAGACATACAAACTCCACACAGGAAGGCCGGAGCCGGAATGGAACCCTGCACCTCTGCACTGTGGGGCGGACGTGCTTACCATTCTGGCACCGTGGCAAACTCAACATGTTATTCTTGTAAATATTCCAGATATTAACAACAGTGGCAGTATCGAAAGAAAATGCATGTGAGTGTTGAAAGAAAGCCGTCTCGATACAGCTTCATATTTATTTGCGGCCGGGATAAAGACCTCCTGGCCAAATGTGTCCACTCTCTTCAAAAATATTTGTCAAAAGTACTCTACCTCCTACTACCTCAATACAAGTACACAAGAAGACAGTCTTCTTCTTCTCCTTTCGGCACGTCCCTATTCAGGGGTCGCCACAGCGAGTCAGTAATTTCCATCCGCCCCTGTAAACCGTCCTACCAACTCGCATGGTCGTCTTGGCAAAAGTTTTACGCCGGACGCCATTCCTGACGCAACCCTCCCCATTTCTCCGGGCTTGGGACCGGCACTGGGGAACAGTGCACCCCCAGGTGAGGGCACTGCCCCCCAGCGGCTGGGTTAAGTACACAAGAAGACAGTACATACTTATATTTATTTTTATCAGTTCAGGGTCCAAAAATGGCGGCATAGCACGAGTCGAGTTTAGCAGTCCAAACAAGGACTTTGTTTCCCCTCCAAACCAGAAACCAACGAAACGAATGCTTGCAAAAGGTTCATAGAGATCTACTGGTAATGCATCAAACGGCAGCGGAGGACGACAATCCCCATTTTTGGCTGCGTGAGGAGCGGAAGGGGTTTGATGCATATGGACGTCAAGGGGATGTATAAATTAAAGCCTATCGACTGACCTAATTGCAGCCTTTGCCATTTTAAAATTGCTTTCTACTACACTGAGATGTCAATTTGAATTCGATTCATTGTTCAGCACGTATGAGTACACCGCTAAAACCGAAATTGGTTTTGCACGGACTAACTCAACGCTGCGATGACATGCTGTAGCTTTTTGCAGGTCGTTGCGAGATGAGTCGCGAGCGCGGCTCATCTCGTCATGCGTTTCGATAGCCACAAGACTTCCTGTTTACCCGCGCGACTCTGATGTGCGCTGACGTTCGTGAATCAATTGGCGGCATCTTCTCCCTTGACTGCTTTTGTTTGCCGTTCCGCCGCGTCTTCATTTCACACTCCTGCGTCCCGCGTTCTCCGTTTTCTCCCTTGATTGAGTTTCACCTTTCCCCGTTCTTGCAGCTCACCTCATTAGCGAAGCCGTCGTCTGCTCATTTCCTCTTTTTGTCCCGCTAGCGGCCACCGACTGTGCACACTTCCTGCAGTCCAAACCCCCGAGCTCACAATCTCCAAGTCCCCCGCACTTCCTGTCTTGTCTTTTCATTGTGTCGTGGAAAAACCATGTGACGTTCCCTAAATAGACCCATACTTGATTTGGAAGAGAAAAGACAAGGCCTAGCATCTGCTGTCATCCGTTTAGCATTTATTTATGTATTCATGCAATCATCCATCCATCCCCTCTATGTTATTGAGAACAAAATTCTTGCAGCTCACCTCATTAGCGAAGCCGCCGTCTGCTCATTTCCTCTTTTTGTCCCGCTAGCGCCCACCAACTGTGCACACTTCCTGCAGTCCAAAAACCCGAGCTCACAATCTCCAAGTCCCCCGCACTTCCTGTCTTGTCTTTTCATTGTGTCGTGGAAAAAACATGTGACATTCCCTAAATAGACCCATACTTGATTTGGGAGAGAAAAGACGAGGCCTAGCATCTGCTGTCATCCGTTTAGCATTTATTTATGTATTCATGCAATCATCCATCCATCCCCTCTATGTTATTGAGAACAAACATAATCGTTGTTTGTTCCCTCGGAAGGGCTGAGAAAACCAAATCCTGTAGAGTGAATCCAATCGACATTCCAGATTTTGAGGTGATTCTTTTTGTTGACAGTATACAGGAAAGGCTGAATTTAAAGTTGCTTGCCTTCATGGTACTAGTAGGTTGCTCTTTTCATTGTGTCGTGGAAAAAACATGTGACATTCCCTAAATAGACCCATACTTGATTTGGGAGAGAAAAGACGAGGCCTAGCATCTGCTGTCATCCGTTTAGCATTTATTTATGTATTCATGCAATCATCCATCCATCCCCTCTATGTTATTGAGAACAAACATAATCGTTGTTTGTTCCCTCGGAAGGGCTGAGAAAACCAAATCCTGTAGAGTGAATCCAATCGACATTCCAGATTTTGAGGGGATTCTTTTTGACGGGTTTGTCAGTATACAGGAAAGTCTGAATTTAAAGTTGCTTGCCTTCATGGTACTAGTAGGTTGCAGCAGAATGTACCGAGCAGCACTGAGGTCTACTGGAGCACATGCAGCATAATTAACAGCAAGAAGAAGAGAACATACAGGCCCGGGGAGAACATGCAAACTCCACACAGGAAGGCCGGAGCCAGGATCGAACCCACGACCTCTGCACTGTGAGGTCGACGCGCTAACCACTGGACCACCAGGTCGCCCCCATACATCCATATTATTATTGTTATTATTCACTGTATATTTGTCCGTTTATTCCTTAGACGAAGCAGCAATTTGGTGTTTGGGATATGCTGTGACTTCGCCTCCTTCTCCTTCATGCTAGTTTGCATTTCATTTGGTTCTCTGATGGGAACAAGGAAGCGCCAAGGCGTGAGAAATCAACCGTATTTATTCCCCTTTATTTATTTATTTGAAGAGGCTTATCCAGCTTGTACTTCTTTCTTTTTTTTTTTTTTCTTTTTTTTTTCCCCCTCCTGCCTTTCAAACTCATGTTGCGATTGCTACATTTCCGACACGTTTCTAATGCTTTATGCGTGTCTATCGTTTGGATACTGTTCAGTCTTACCGCCCCAATAGCAGTCACACTGATTATGTTGCAGAATTTGACAAAAGCTCGTCGGGGTGCCGTCGTAACGGCGCTGTGTTAATGTTGTTTTAATGTGCTTTCTCTATTCATAGGTTTGCCTCCACGTCTTTGAACCTGATATTAAAATTAATGAGCTTGCTCGCTTCCAAAGTTTAACAATACTTACACAATCAAAGGGAAAAGTATGACAAAGCTGGCGCATTGTTCTATTGTTAAAATGTTGCATTCCAGTCCAATCACATTTTTATTCATATCATAAAAACAAAGTAATTAAACAGGCAAAACATTTGTAAGAATGCACCACGCAAAATCGAAAGAATGCGTATTGTTGTTTTTAAAGGAAAGCTCACTAATCTGCCGGCTCATCATTTAGTAGGATGTTTCTGGATTTTTTTTTTTTCCCCCTCCGACTTGCACCCCCCGAAAGCCGAACAACCGTTTAGTCTGTCAAGAGGTTGGCTTCGGAAAACAACAAAGGGGGGAAGCTCTGAAACGGAAACAAACTGACCAAAAAAAAAAAAAAGACAGATGTGAAAAGTCCATTTTAAGGACTTTTCTTTTATCCATGTCTTGATGTGATTTTCTACCAATTGATTTTTGACATGATCGTGAAGTGTGACGTTATGAACGAAGCGAATACCCTTTGCGTCATTGTTGCATCAAATGAGGACATCCCAAAAAACACGCCCAAAAATTTACATACGGTATGTTTTGGTGAAGTGAAAAGTGAAAATGTGTTTGTCTCTCCTTCAGTTTTGGCGCTACTCGAAGTGACGTCATGGGCTGCGGACTGCGTAAGATGAAGCCTACCGCGGAGGAGAAGTCACCGGGTAAGATTTACTCCACGCTGAAGAGACCTCAGGTGGAGACCAAAGTGGGCGTTGCTTACACCTACCGTTACCTGGACTTCCTCATCGGCAAGGACGGTAAGGCTTCGAAAATTGAATTTGCACGCTTGCAAGGACAAGATGTTTGATTTTTGGAAACGGAACAGTGAATTATTTCCCTCGTGGTTGAATAAAGTATCTTGCTAATAGCTAGTTATTAGCAATCGAAAAGTGAAAGTGACTTATTCTTGTATTTGTTTTAAAATGGAGCCCCCCCACCAAGAAAAAAACAAACATCTAAATGAATTGATCTTTCACGTATCAGATGAAAAATACAAAACTGAAAAACAGGGCACTTCGGTTTACGTGACTTGGAAGTCTGGTAAGAGCGCTAGTAGAGCTGCGTTAGCTTGTTAGCCACCACAGTAAGTCTTGACCACGACCACTCGCGATGTGCAGATCGATAATGACATTGATCGATACCACTGACTAGCTCCTTATGCTCTAAAATCAATGATCCGATCCAAATTTCAGCACTTCAGCCATTTGAGGTCATATACATCATACGCAGGCCTCCCCCAAAAAAATCCTTGATTTTTTTTAGACAATTTCTGATTTTAAAAGTATTAACACAATCAACAACTTTTTATTTTTTTTTGATTCCTGATGATCGGTACTTTCCTGTCGCGCTCTTTCTGCGGCGCGATGAGGTTCCTTAGCGAGGCCGCCATCAATGTCACAAGCATTTAGCGCTTAATTTCATCTACTTGTGGCTTTTTGGCCGATAAAACAAATTGGACTCCATGTCTTTTAATTAGTTTTACGCCGCTGCTCTCTAAACACTTTCCCCTACCAGTGACAACACGTCCGAGCTATGGTTACTCATCCTTTACTGGCAAGGGAAAGAATTTTTTAATTTATTTTTTTAATCATTGATGTATGAATTGATTATTTTCGAGGAGCACAACATTGTTGGTAATTACAGAATCTCTTGAGGTTCATGAAAATAGTGGAATAGAAACCGTTGTTGTTGTAGCTCATGTAAGAATTGATATCCGAATGCAAGTGTGAGCTCAATGCAAATATTGATCACTTGTAAGCCTAATTGCTGACATGGTTGTGGTGATTTTTTTGGGGGGCGGGTGGGTGGGGCGTAGACACACCTGTTTGAAATGATGAAGCATGTCATTGGCAAATGTTACATTCTAATCAATACAAGGATTCTTTGAAAAGAAAATTATCCCCTGACACCTGTTTCACAGATCGACACCAAATTGAGGTGATATGTCGGAACAGGGTGCACACAAAAGTCCCTTTGTACCTTTGCCGAAATTGAGCAGGAAGGTGGCCATTTGGGTTTGGGGCCCGGTTTGATCATTTGGAGGCTTCACTGTTTAAAAAGAAAAAAAAAAAGAGGGCATGAGCCCGTTTCATCGCTGCATGCAGCTTTAATTTATTTTGTTGTTTGAGATAAATGGTCTCGGTCATTTATTTGAATGGTAAAAATGTGGAAAATTGTAAGTAATGCGGGAAACAGTCAAACGTATGCATTTATTGAATGTAAACAGGCTTTGTTTTGACTTTGATAATATAATGGGTGCACGGATTCTGTAAGGACGTCGGGAGGGGGGGGGGCAAGCGGGAAACGCCGAGTGTGCATGTTTCTGGCGAGTGAAGACCAACCCACCATATTGTTTCCACTGTTTTGCGTCTGCTTACCGAGTGGCGGGAAAATAAAGAAAAACACTCCAACAGCATGGCAGCGGCCACTTGGCAGGAAGTGAGGTGAAGGCTGAGTTCACTTCCTTGTTTGTTCCTCTGGGTGGAGACCTTTTCTTCTTCTTTTTTTTTTTTTTTTTGTTAAAGTTGGACGCCTTGCTCCTCTGCTGCTAGTCCAGACTGATTGCATTTCGCCACAGTCAATAGACACGTATTGATCCCAGCCAGAGGCCAATCACGCCCAATGAAGCTTTGCTTCGACGCTGGCTGAAAAGAAGCGGCAAAGAGGCGTGCCAGGTAAACGCAAGCAGATGCCGTGAGCTGATGGTGGCTGCATTTACTTGGAGACTATTCGTCATTGTTCGCACACTTCGAAGTGTATAGATTCTATACACTTCTATGATATGTGACAGGTGTAATAAATATGAAACCACTGTTGACATTCTGTCAATCACAATAAAAATGACATCACAGTTGCTCAGGTAACGACCAATCACGGCTCACCTGGAGCCTATCCCAGCAATTTAGGGAAAATTTGGAGTGTTCAATCAGCCTGCCATGCATGTTTTTGGAATGTGGGAGGAAACCGGAGTACCCGGAGAAAACCCACGCAGGCACAGGCAGAACATGCAAGAGCTGGGATCGAACCCACAACCTCTGCACTGTGAGGTCAACGCGCTAACCACTTGCCCACCGGGCTGCTCTGTCTATTAATATTGAATATTGTAAATTAGAGGTGCATCATAATTCAATATTTTTTTTAAATATGCTACATAAGTGATAAGAATAGAACTTGTTCTACTCTCGCGCAGTTGAATATCTGCACTTCCTATTGGTATTAAATGCTTCAGTGTGAATTTGCGCAATAACTCGAGCACATTGAACACAACGTCACGTTGAACGCCGCCATCAACATAATCATCAATAATGGCGTCATTAATTGTCACCTTATCGCTTCCAAGTAGCTAATTCGAGTCGCGTTTTGAGCGCAAGCGTGCCGCAAGACTAGAAAGGAGGCGGAAAAAAGCAATGAATTCCCAACTCAATGTCACGCTGGCCTTCAGTGAGAGGGATTCAATTCCAGCTCTCTAGCCGGTGAGCCGCGGGGATAAGTCGCAGCTCCCCCGCCGTCCCGCCGCGAATCCCTCCGGAAAGACACTCTGGCGCGACGCTTTCCCGCTGACCTCTCCCGCAGCGGCGAGTTGCACCTGAGAGCCACCGATGCAAAGGCGAGGGGGGAGCGGCAGGGAGTCAAGGCGGGGGGAAGGTGGACAAATTGTTTTTTTTTGCGCGTGCTGTACTTCATCTCGAAAAACAAAGAAATCTTTTCTTTTTCTTCCTTTCATGTTATCACATTGGCTATTTTTGAGTTCAGAAATGCTACTGTTAAGTTCTTTGTCACTCAGACATAAAAGATATAAAGAAATAACGCATGATTTTGTTTGGCAGAGGTTAAGGTTATGCAGAAACATATTTGACGGATTTAGTCGCAAAAAAAAAAAAAATCATCCGTATTATTGTGAGGTATTTCGGATTAAAAAAAAATCGACTGTGAACCAGAGCAAGGTGTTATATTCACTTTTGCAAAATGTGCGACAAAGCAAGCCGGCGCACCAACGCGATGTTACAAAAAGCCGACATCACAGGAAAGTTTTTATTGAATTTTGAGCAACGGCGTAAATCGTCAGAGATTTGTCGGAAGCCAGACTGGATCAATAAAATAGCGTTTCTCTCAAAGGATCCGCCTCAGTTGTGCTGTTGCATTCCACACACACACACACACACACACACACACACACACACACACACATGCACACACTCGCAGAGTTGTTTGTCAGGTAACAACAATAATCACACACACACACACACACACACACACACACAGCCTCATATGTCCTCATATGTTCCACAATTGCATTTTGGGTAAACCAGATTTGTGCACTTTCCAGAGGCAACGGCGGTCACGGCAACATCAACAACGTCCTAGCACTCTCTCTCATCCCCGTGGCGTCGTCTTCGCAGTATCAGACGCTTTTGTTTCTGCGTGCGTGGCGGCTGTGAAATAAAAGCAGATGACACGTTTTATTACGTGGAGCCCCCCTCCAATTGACACCGGCTTTCATCAGCCCGAGTTTATTTTGCTCCATTTGGAAGCAGTTTCGGTAGCCCGTGGAGGCATTGCTCTCGTTCGCTCGCTTGCTGACTGTTGTAAATGTCACACTGTAGCAACAAATGACTGCCAACTTCGTTCTTAGCGTGAAACACGCACACACACATGCGCAAAAATCATCACGAGGACTCGTGGGAGGAATGATGTGGAATCAAAAAGTCGAACTCTTTGGACTTGTCTTGTCTTCAGGGTGCATTGATATGCTGGGATTTCAACAGCTTGGGGAACGACATTCACGTCAGTCGAAATTCACGCTGATCACAATTTTGAATGAGGCGTAGAAAAAAAAGTAGTGTGCTTCCGGTAACCCGACCGACCGAGAATTTCTACGTCGAAAAAAAACTTTACGGTCGGCATTTTTTTCAAACAACCCTCGACATTTTTGTGTCGAGGGTTTACATCGGTGCAAACTCTCGCGATATTCATGTTGAGCGCGAGCGTCGTTTGCCCTGTCGTCTGTCAACAACATTGAAACATGGCGGCGGCCGCGATCTCCGACGACAGTTTAAACCGCGTTTTCTGTGTTACAGTCGCGTGCTCGCACCGTAATGTTAAGAAAATAGCATCCATTGATGTATCGAAAAAATTCAGCGAACTATTTGATGAACACCACGGGCCGAGTAAAAACCGAGGGCGGAGGAGGATGGCGGCGGAGGCGGTGGCGCGCACCGGCCCCCCGAGTCCGGAGCGAGGAGAAAACTAAATCGGTGGC